CCTCATGTACAGATGCAATTAGGACCCAATACTGTGAGATGCTGAGTTCCTCCTGGCAGTTGCTCAGCACCTTCTGTTCCTTTTGACTTCAAGGTTTTTTTTAAATAGTGCCCAGAAGTTGCTGGGCTCTTGACAGCACAAACAGAAACATATAGTGCCTGCCAACAAGGGCTTACAGCACTGAAATGGTAATGTATAAGGTAACAAAATAGCTGGGAAAGGCTGGGAGGAATTAGAACAAAGGTTATAACAATAAGGCATTCCAAAGTCCCTCGTAAGTCTACCATTGTGTTTAGTAGGCTGAAGATCAGGTCCCCAGTGAAAGTCAGTTAAAACAAGACCCTTTGAAAATATTAATTACATTTATTTTAAATAACAATATTAAGCATGAATTGACCGGTCAACTAGTAGCCCTGATATTCTGTTCACATAAAGATTGTTTTGAATGCTTACTTTATATAAACATTAGACTTACAGGATACATGCAAGATGCCTGTAAGATTGTCAAAAACTATCTGCACCCGGCATTGAGTATTATCATTATAATCTATGTGCATTGTGGTAGTGTCCACAGACCCAGTATCAGGATGCCATTGTCCTAGGTACTGCACAAATGAATGGAAGAAATTGTCCCCATGCCCAAAGAGAGTAAAAGAACAAATCTCACATTGGAAAAGGTGATAGAAGACACTGCCCAGCACAAAATATCCAAACTATTTTAGTTGGGGGAAAATAAAGGATAGTTTTTTACACTCAGCTATTTAGGGAAAAAAACTCACCCCCTACAGGAATTTAAAATTATTTTAAAAATGTCCATGCCGCGGTCTTTATTAGAGTCCATACCCAGAGGAGGAATTTTAAGTTACTTTGAGAGAGGTACTCGGACATGATGGCGGGCTAGTAGACAGGAAGGACACATGGACTCTATTTCTGAATCTGCCTTTGGCTCACTGTGGACATGAAGTCTATGGAATCTTTGTCATGAACTCCAATGGGCACAGGCTCGCGTATTACGTAAACTTGGACAAATCATTTATCTCCTTTGTGCTTCATTTTTACTGGCTTTTTAATGGAAATAATATCACTTGTAAAGTGCTTTGAGAGCTTTGGAAAAATAGTTATGTCTGTGTATATGCTGCTACTGCTGCAGAGGTTATAGCGTGATCAGAATCTGGTTGTAAACCATATAAAGTTATTTTTATTATGCTCTTCAACTTACACCATAGCATTAGTACTTTTGATTTGCCATTGCAGTGTGGATTAAAGGTATGCAAAGCTTCCCTGTTCAGCAAAGCATTTACTCACAAGCTTAACTTTAAGCAGGTGCTTCAATCCCATTGAGTTCAATGGGATTTAAAACACATACTTTAAATGCTGTCCTGAACAGGGGTAGATTTTAGCAAACGTTTTAAGTGTTTTCCTGAACTGGGGTCTATGTCTGGACAATCCTTTCCTAAGCAGGGAAATCCTTGGCTTTCTGCCACATCTCCCACCCTTCACTGTGTTTATGAATACAGGCAGTCCCCGGGTTACATGGATCCAACTTACATCGGATCCCTACTTACAAACGGGGCGAGGCAACCCTGCACTAGCTGCTTCCCCCCAGCAAACCAGGGAGACCCCGCACTAGCTGCTTCCCCCCAGCAGACCAGGGAGACGCGAAGCTAGCGCCCCCCCCTCCCCCGCAGACCAGGGAGACGCGGAGCGGCTTTTCTCAGCAGACACCTCAGCTTGAGAATAAAGGACTGAGGGAAGTGAGGTGTGGGAGAATAAAACTGAGCTCTGGAGAAATGTTTGGCTAGAGTTTCCCCTACAATATGTACCATTTCCGACTTACATACAAATTCAACTTAAGAACAAACCTACAGTCCCTATCTTGTACGTAACCCGGGGACTGCCTGTAGTTCTAGTGGATTTAACCTTTCAAGATTGGATACGCAACTGGATATGCTTTTCTCTTGTCTACAGATGAAAAGAAAGTCATGACTAATGCATATATAAAAACAACAACAAATGGTCTAGTAGCACTTTATAGACTAACAAAACACATAGATGGTATCATGAGCTTTCGTGGGCACAGCCCACTTCTTCAGTCATCTGAAGATGACTACCAGACCATGTGTGTTTTTTTCTGTAACAGACTAACTCGGCTACCCCCTGAAGCATATATCAAACTCATTCAGCTTTTTGACCCCCGCATAGCATGTGGCAACAGTGCTTCAGGTTTGGAAAAATCCAGCTCCATTTGCCATATAATGGGTCTACACATCTAGGCTGAATCTCCTGTCGCCTTTTGTTCATTACAACCAGCCACATCCCTGACAAACACTGAAGCTCCTCTCACAGGAAAACACCTGTCCTGAAAGATTAATGGCAGCTAGGACAGTCCCTTTGCAGATACTATTGTGTCTCTTACCAATGTATTTATGAACTGAAAATTAAAGGGTCCATCAGCAAAGCCACATGACTCTGATGTTATGTAAATGGGTCTAATCCATGGGAACTGAAAGAGAGAGACCCAGCTAATGTGATGAGAAGACTCTGCCACCAATAACATCCCACCATACCACACCACTCTGAGGAAGGCAAGGGGAAAAGTGAAAATCAGCCCCCTATACCGCTGAATCAGCACTGGCAGTTATTTATGACAGAGGCCAGTACGGAGTGTTCAAATGCACAGCAATAAGATGTGCACCCTCTAGGAGAGTCTCACAATGGAGTTTGTTTTCCAGCATATGTTCCAATTACTTTAATGCAAAATAACTATTAGTAGTCTAATATCATAACTATTAGTAGTCTAACATGTTAGCACAAGCAGAGGTCACTCTTGTCTCGTATACTTACTCGGCATTTTCTTATGAGACCAGCAATCGAATGAGTCATGCAAGTCATGCATCAGATTTCATAACATTTGGAGAACACCCCAAATCCATTCCCTGAGTGAAATCCTGCCTTAGGATCAGAAATCCTGCCTTGGGATGGAATGGCAGCAGCCATGAATTGGGGCTGCAGAGTCAGAAAATGAGGTCTCAGAACAGTGGAGGGGAATACACTGCTGTGTGTAATTGCTCTTGCTTTCAAAGGGAAAAGGGCATGTCATCGCCTGGGTGCACTGTGCATTGCAAATAGGAGATGACCAAGCCCCTAGCAGCTGTGTAGCCTTGGGTCCAAGACATCTTAGTTGGGAGTTCCTGTGGTTCCTGTCCTAGTGCTCTTCTGAGTGCCAGGCAGGAATAAGGCCCTACAGTTATGCAGCAAAACAGGCGAGCATTTCCCTGCTTCCTGCTTTCACACTGTGGCAGGGGGAAACAGGTGGAAAGAGAAAATGGCTGCTTGTCTATCATGTGATTTAGCAGGGTGGGGTGAAGAGACACACCAAGGCCCTGAAGTAGACAAGGCCCAGACCTACTTTGCGTTATTTTGGTGTTCAAATAGTAGTTTGTGTCTTCTCTGTGAGGTGTTTGCTGAATGTCAGTTCCCAACCCTCATGAGTTCGAGGGGGAAAGAGAGAGAGGGGGAGAAAGAAAGAGACAGATACAGGCAGTCCCCAGGTTACATGGATCCGATTTACATCGGATCCCTACTTACAAACGGGGTGAGGCAACCCCGCACTAGCTGCTTCCCCCCCGCAGACCAGGGAGACGAGGAGCGGCTTTTCTCAGCAGACACCTCAGCTTGAGAATAAAGGACTGAGGGAAGTGAGGTGTGGGAGAATAAAACTGAGCTCTGGAGAAATGTTTGGCTAGAGTTTCTCCTACAATATGTACCAGTTCCGACTTACATACAAATTCAACTTAAGAACAAACCTACAGTCCCTATCTTGTACGTAACCCGGGGACTTCCTGTACTGCATTTGGCAGAAATGTGAGCATCACATAGGCAGAAAAGCCAGTGTTAACGTCAGTCACTCATAGAAAAGACACAAGGGCAAGAAATAGTTTCTGAACCCCAGAACGATAGGCCCAATCCCACACTTCTTCAAGGAAAAGTCCCTGGACAGGGAAAAAACACTGTCTAAACATCTTATGCTTAGGACCCTACCAAATTCACAGCCATGAAAAACACATCATGGACCATGAAATCTGGTCTCCCCTTGTGAAATCTGATCTTTTGTATACTTTTACCTATGCTATACAGATTTAATGGGGAAGACCAGCATTTCTCAAATTGGGGTCTAGATCCAAAACGGAGTTACAGGGGATCACAAGGTTATTTTAGGGTGATGGGTCACGGTATTGCCACCCTTACGTCTGTGCTGCTGCTTTCAAAGCTGGGCAGCCAGAAAGCGACCTCTGCAGGCCAAGGTCTCAACTCTGAAGACAGTGCCCTGTTAGCAGCAGCACAGGCGTAAGGGTGGCAGTACAACACCATGCCACGCTTACCGCTGCGCTTTTGCTGGAGATGACTCTTCCTCCAGAGCTGGGCTCTCAGCCATCAGCCACTACTCTCCAGCTACTCAGCTCTGAAGGCAGCACCTCCAACCCCAGCAGCAGCGCAGAAGTACCGCAACAACTTACAATAGCCTTACAACCCTCCCCACCCCAACTCCTTTGTGTGTCAATCACAATTACAGTACTGTGAAATTTCAGATTTAAATAGCTGAAATCATGAAGTTTACTGTTTTAAAATCCCATGGCCATGAAATTGAGCAAAATAGACTGTGAATTTGGTAGCCTACACTACAAAAATTACTAAAAAACACAATTGAATACACTTTTTGCAGGAATGATGCAGCAAAACGGAGCCGAGGACACTCAAGATTCCGACCCAGACCATGCAGTTGTAAGAGGCAACCAGAAAGCCACTCCACTGCCATTTATGTCCAGGGATGGAGGCACCACAAGGGCACCTATGCCACATGTGCATGGCAATGGACACTACTTGCAAGAAAGTGTGGTGCATGGAGCATTTGCCTGTCCCATGTGTGGAATACATATAGAGACGATTAGTCAAAGAAAAAGGGTTCTTTGAGACAGAATAGTAATAGAGTGTTTTTACCCTCTTCATTTTCATCAAAGACTGGTGGTTTGCTAGAAGAGGTGTTTGCACCCATGGTGAAATTTGCCACAAATTCTCTTATGCAGTTACATCACCATACTGGAACACAATGCGCTGAGGTTAGCATGGCCATCTAGCTCGCTCTCAGGAGACCTTTCCGTGTATAACCTGGGGAAAGAGAAAAGAAGCAACTCACCATCACTGTCTCTCACCACACGTTTTCAAAGCCATTAATATATGGGGTCACTACCAAGTGAGAACAGGCAGTCCCCGGGTTACGTACAAGATAGGGACTGTAGGTTTGTTCTTAAGTTGAATCTGTATGTAAGTCGGAACTGGCATACAGATTCAGCCGCTGCTGAAACTGATCAGTTTCAACAGCGGCTGAATCTGGACACCAGTTCCCACTTACATACAGATTCAACTTAAGAACCCCAGGTGTCCCCAAGTCAGCTGCTGCTGAAACTGATCAGCAGCTGATTCCAAGAAGCCCGGGGCAGAGCAACTCTGCCTCAGGCTTCCTGTAGTCAGCGCTGGTCAGTTTCAGCAACGGCTGACTTGGGGA